TTGGCCTTCCTGGGGCCCTGGTCGTGCCTCCGGGCTGGGTCTTCCTGTCACAGGCAAATCGATTAAAGAAGCATTTGAGGCAATTAAGGCCCAGAATCATGTTCTCCAGGAAACACTAAGTGCACTGGAAGGGAGCGTGGGGGGAACCGGCCGGGAAAGGCTGGGAGATAATGTGGAGTGACGCGTGGAGGCCACGGGCTCCGCAGCTCGGGGCTCGACGAGCAGATGTCTGAACTCTCTGAAGGTCTCATTAAGAGCCGCGTGGTGGGCGCTGGCAGGCTTGGAAAGCTTGACAGTCCAGCACCGGGATCCGTGCAGCGCCGGAGGACAGGAAGCCGATACTCCAGCTGCACCGGAGCCTCTTCTCGCCACTCTGCCAGACGCCGCGGCAGCTCTGGCACGGAGCGGGAAGAGCCCCGAGTCTTCGCTGGGGCAGACCAAGGCTGCCCGTGTCCCTGAGACTTGTGGGTGAAAGGGAAGTTAAATGCAAGCGGCTGAGTTCCTGAGCCCAGCCACGGGGGGGTCTCGCCCCTTCCGGAGAGGCCTCTGGGGCGGGGGAGCTGCTGCTGCGCTACGGCTCCCGCCGAGCGGAGGGGTACGCGGTGCAAAGCGCGCACCCCGGCAGGCGGGAGCTGTGCACATCTGCTGGAGGAAGGGAAGACAGATGCTGACTCTGGCCCTGGGAGCACGGGAGAGGGCTCAGATACGAGAATCCAGCCCTGAGGTTTGATTGCTCTCATCTGCTTCCCTCTTCTTGCTCTTGTCGATTGAGTTATGGAAAAGAGTTTTATAGCTCGGTCTGCGCAGGAGGATGCGGGGAGGCTGAGCTGCCGCGTTGCCCCGGGTGTTGTTGCAGGGGGACTCTGGTCCCGCGCTCCCTGCTCTGTGCTGCTTGCACAGCCCGGGCTCTGCCCCGGCTCTGGGGACGCAGCGCGTCCCGCTTGGTTCATCTGGAGACGTGGGCAGGGGATAACGAGGGACTGACTCTGGGAGGAAGGCACCCGCTGCTCCGGGAGATGCTGGAGGCTGGGGCCCCACGGCGGTGCATGGGGAGTGAGGCTGCAGGGCAAGAGGGCAAGGAAAGCAGCCAGGCGCTGGGGCTTGTGAGCCTCCTGATGGGCAGAGGCAGCCTGGGGTTGACCCTTGCCACAGGCGCCTGCAACGCTGTTGCCTGCGTGCTGGGAGGAGCACTCGCTCAGGCAGGGACGGGCACAGGCCGAGCGAAAAAGCTGCAGGCTGGGAAGGCAACGTGGTCTGGGCGGCATCGGCATGGCGCTGGCAGCAACCAGCCGCAGCGCAGCTCCCCTGAGCGAGGAGACCCCGCGTGGGGTGATGGAGAGGCAGGGGCGGGGGGGTGCAAGCCCCAGGCTGGGAGGGAAGCCCCAGGCAGCAGCGGGGTCAGAGGTGTGATTGCACCAGGTGTTGTCTGAGCATCCCGAGGGAAGCTGGGCACTGCCAGCCTTTTGGTGGGCATCACCACCTGGCCTTGCACTAACGTTCGCTGAGCAGAGAGATGGGCCGTAGCGTGCGTCCCCGCTACTCCGCAGCCTGGCCCGGAGCGCAGCCGAGCTGCCCGACCGCCGAACTTGCATCTGTCGTGGGCTGCTCCGACCTTGGCTTCCTAGGCACGCAGCGAGCCCCTTCCTCCTTGGGAGCTCATGCCTTCTGTGTTTGATCTGAGAAATAGGGCTGCGAGACCAGGGCGCGCTGCAGCTGCCCCCCCTCTGGCAGGAGCCGGAGCCGACAGCGAGCAGAACAGGAGCTGGCAGCGCTCTGCGCTTCCAGAAACACCAGCGCTGGTGCTAAGTACATATTTACATGGAGCGACAGCGGTGTTTACCTGGCAGATGGGCCCAGCTCCAGCCTGGAGCTCTTCTCTGGCAAAGATCAGGGGCCACAGCCTGGCCCCCAAGCCGGGGGCTGAGCAGAAGGACCTACCCAGCCTGGCCTTCCCTGCCCTGCGTTCGCAGGCGTGCAGCCAGCCTGTGCATGCGCCGTGCCAGTAGATCAAGAGTCCTGGGAGCCCCTGGCCTGGCAAGTATCTCTGGCCCTGCGGCACCACATCCACGTGCCGGCAGCTGCTGCGTGGCGCCTGGGCAGAGTGGGAGTCCTGGCCCCATGCTCTGACAGTGCTATTAATATTACTTATGTCTTCCTGCCACGCTGCAGGGAGCTGGAGCAGCAGCACCAAGCCAGAGCAGGTTTACCTGCGTACCAGCAATTAGCATAACAATACACAGCGTCTCCTGGCTTGTCCTCGTCGGCTGCAGGCAGAGATGGTCTGCCCCCCTGCCAGGTCTGCCCCGCTGCAGCCGGCCACCCTTCTTTCCTGGCTGGTCGCAGACCTTGCAGCGGATGAGTCTGGGAGTCCGGCGTGACTGCATGGCCGTGCGTGCTTCCTTGTGCTGCCAAGGGACCGGGCCTGTGGACGTGACCCAGGAGACGGCTGCCTTGGGAAGTCAGTCTCCTGGCAGGGCTGTGGGGCCAGGGCGGCTGTCCCAGGGTGTGGCGGCCTCAGCACAGGGCATCGCTGGCAGAAGCCTGCTGCAGTGTGTGGGGTGACGTGTCCACCCGGGGATCTGCTCCCTGCGTACACATGCAGCATCCCGGTCTAGCGCAGGCTTGTCCACCGCAGCCCGCCCTTGGCGCAGTGCTGCGTGGCTGAACGCTCGTCCTGTGCCTTGCCTGCTCGGAGCTGGCCTGGGGGCTCCCTCCATGCCCAAAGAGGAGGAGAGAAGCGAGGAAATCCTTCATTTTCCCCGCTGCTAAAATCCCCAGCTGCTTGACGGCTTTCCTGAGCTGCCCTGACCCCCCTGGGCCAGCACGCTGGAGGGAGGCCGGCAGAGGCCGTTGCGCGTCCTGCGCAGCACCCAGCCCACACGCCAGGTTGCCGGGTGGCAGACAGCGTGACAGCCAGGGTCAAAATAGGCGTCTGCTGATGGGTAGGGAAGGGCTTGCCCGGCACAAATCAAGCAGAGCTGGCAGAGGCCACTCTGCATTTGATTAGGTCAAGATTGCAGGCGGCGCCAGAGCCACGTCTGATGCTCACCACTGCTAATTGTCTTGGCCCTGCCCCTTTTTGCACGGCTGCTTGTCTGGGGCCACGCAGGGTGGCGCGACTAGTGGGCCCTTGCCCTGGTGCTCCCTGCCGTCGGACCTGCAGCGTGGGCTGCAGCCACTGCTCTGGGGATGCCCCCGTGCCCAGGCCCACGCTACTCCCGTTGCTGCTGGTGTTCGTGGCCGCTGCCCTGTTCTAGGCTTGGGTTTGCGTGTGGCTCTGCGAGAGCAGCTCACACCTGGGGGAGTCAGGCAGGGGCCCCATGAGCTGGGGGGGGCAGGGGTTGAGAAGTCACCAGCTGCCTCCCCTGGCTCCTTTGTCACTGTGGGTCTCGTGTTGGCACTGCGCGAGTGCAGCCGCCCAGGATGCCATGGGACGGGGACGCAAGGTGTTGGCGCGGGGCCTGATGCTGCTCCGCTTGCTCCCCCCAGACAACACGGCCGCAGTGCACACGCAGCGAGTGGGCTTCAACCGCCAGGAGCAAGACGTCTACCTGCTCCCCATCCTGGTGGTGGACAGCGGCCCGCCGGCACTGAGCAGCACAGGCACGCTGACTATCCGGGTGTGTGGCTGCGACAGCGCTGGCGCCATCCAGTCCTGCAACAGCACTGCCTATGCCATGACAGCCACGCTGAGCCCCGGCGCCCTCATCGCCCTCCTGGTCTGCATCCTCATCCTGGTCGGTGAGTCGCCCGGCCCTGCACTGGCCCCTTCCCGCCCCATCCTGCCCTGCACCTCCTCCCTCCCGCCGGCTCGGGCTCCACAGCTGGACGCTCCTGCCGTGCAGCCCCTTCCACTTGCCAGCACCCGGTTCGCTGCTGACACGTCTTCTGGTCGGACGGGGTTCCCCCAGGGCCCGGCTGGGCTGGCCCGCCCCCCGCGGGAAGCAAGCGGGGGTCCTCTGGGATGGGGTCTATGGACGGACCCCAGCGCAGCAGGTGGGTGGCCCCTGGGGTCAGGCAAGCGCTCTGTGCTCCCTCGTGCTGGCACCTCAAAGCTGCCATGGGAGGACAGAGCGATGGGCCCCCAAGGGTGCGGGCAGGCCTTGTGGCAGCACTCGGGGCGAGCAGAGACGAGCCGGTCACGTCAGCAGCCTGGGCAGGGCTTGTAGTGGCGCAGGCACAGCTGCTGTGGGAGCGTCCCACTGACCCCGCTCCAGGGAGGAAGCGCTGTGCGAGTCGCTGGCGGGACCACCCGCCCGTTCCCTCGGCCTCCGCCTTGCGCTCGCAGCCTGCCGCGGCACCTGGGCTGCCCGGGCCCAGCGGGAGTCGGGTCTGGCATCTCTGCAGGCGGAGGTCTGAGCGCATTGGGATGCTGCTGGGGGCTCTTGCTCATGTTCCCAGCGGGGTGTAGGGCTACAGCCTTCTGCGGTGTCCTCCCTAGCATGGCAAGTGCACGCCTGCCCGGAGCACGTGGAGCCTGGCAAGGCCTCCCCACCCCGGCTGTGGCTCTGGTTAGGAGGCGCTTCCCTGCCGCGGTCTCGTTGCCCTGCGCAGCACAATCACTCTTCTGCCCCTTGCCCACAAGCGGACCCCCTTGCCTCGGTGCCCGGGGCCGGCAGTGCCAACAGGCAATAAACCAGCAGGCGTCCGCGCCACCTGCTCCCTCTCGCCACGTGGCTGCTGCCCCGTGTCCCCTTCCATCCTTGTGCCCCTACAACCCGCCAATCCACCCGTCTGTCCATGCCCCCATCCCTGCCTCCTGCTCTCCCTCCTGCAGCAGGGCGCGGGGTGCCTGGGCAGCTGGGGGAACGCGGCCGTCTGCCCGGGACACGCCCGTCGGTCGGTTGTGGCTGCCGGGGAGGAAGGTTGCATGCTCGGCCCCCTCCCTCCTGCCAGCTCTGGGGCAGCGAGGCAGGACCGCGGGCCCCGGCGCTGACTGCTGTCTCCCTCCTCAGTGCTGGTCCTGCTGATCCTCACCCTGAAGCGCCATCACAAGAGCCACCTGGCATCAGAGGAGGACGAGGACATGAGGGACAATGTCATCAAGTACAATGATGAGGGGGGCGGGGAGCAGGACACCGAGGCCTATGACATGTCGGCCCTGCGCAGCCTCTACGACTTCAGCGAGATCAAGGGGGGGGACGGTGGGGGTGGCACAGGTGACGGTGGCCTGAGCAGCAGCCTGGCCTCTGAGCTGCATGCCCTCCCGCAGTGGGTCCAGAGCCCGGACCTGGACTTCTCCATGTTCAGAGACTACATCAGCAAGAAGGTGGAGCAGGCGGACGAAGACCCGTCGGTGCCGCCCTACGACTCCTTCCAGACCTATGCCTTCGAGGGCGCGGACTCGCCCGTCCCGTCCCTGAGCTCCATCAACACCTGGTCCACCAGCTCGGAGCAGGACTTCTCCTACCTGGGCAGCTGGGGGCCGCGCTTCCGGCAGCTGGCCACGCTCTACGCCGGGCACCGGGGCGAGGAGGAGGGCGAGGAGTCCTAGCCACGCCGGACTGCCCAGCCGCACCGAGACCGGGAGCGCCCCCGGAGCTGGGGGCTGCTGCAGGCGCAGGCTCCGGCGGACGATGTGCCAGCCGGAGCGCGGGGCCCGGCCGCGGCACCAGGAGGCCGAGGCGGCGCAGCCGGCTCTGGACGGGGCAGCGCCGGGGATGTGATGTGCTTGGTTACCGCCTCGTTTCGGAGGCTCCGGTGCACACACATAAGGAGGCTGAAGTGCCCAGCGGAGCCGCTGTCGCCATCATAATCTCTTTAATAACAATCTCCATTAAAGCACTACACATTAATTTAAGAAAGGGAAAATCTAATTCAAGAGAGCTCGGAGGGGGCTTCCCCCCCACAAATTATCATTTAAATAGATCTGTTCAATGAGCCTGGGCAAGGGAAGGAAGAGAGAAACGGGAGCCTTTTGTTGTCTAAATTGTTTTTGTCACTTGATTCAGAGCATTTGAAGTGCTTTGATTTTTTAAGAGCTTTCCTCGCAGAGAGAAGCCAGCTTTTAACTCCTGTTCTGTTCCCCCCCTCGCCTTTCCTCCCCCTCCCCGACTCCTCTCCTTTCTTTCTGTCCCTCCGGCGCGGGCGGGGGTCCGGGCAGCCACGTCTGCAGTCCCGGCTGCCCGCGTCCCCAGCGTGTGTTTGCTGGGACGTGGGCCCGTGCTGGGCGCCTGTCCTGAGCACCCTCTCGTGGCAGGAGCCAAAGGGGGGCAGAGCCGTGGGGTGAATGTGCACAGGCAGTCCTGACACAGTGGGCACGTGGTGGTGCGTGGCTGGTACCAGCACGCTGCTCCTGCGGGACCTGACAATGGGCAGGGGTGAGTCTTGTGGGGCCGGGCCCTGGGGTGAACAAAAGCCCGGTGCCTGGGCTGGTGTCTGTGAGGCAGATGCTGCTCAGAGGGATGGGGCTCATGAACCTGCGCTGCTGGGAGCTGTAGGCTGGTGCCAGAGCAGGGGTGGAAGCTGCCAAGCCCGATGTCCCAGGATCTTACCTGGGCAGCCCCACGGGCAGCGTGGCGGAGGCCGTGTGCTCTGGGCGCGGGGCAAGGCACGGATCAGGGAGGCTCAGCAGGAGACCCTTGGCCCCGGTGCAGGGGGGAGCAGATCCCAGCCTAGCTGGGCCTTGTTGGCCAGACCAGGGGACCCCGCAAATGAGACACCAGCCCAGCATCCAGGCAGAGGCTTGTCTGTACCAGCTTGGAGCGCAGGCAAGCCTCTCCCATCCCCACCTGCGGTGCCATCCGGCGCGCCTGTGCAGGCAGCACCCCCAGCGCATCTGCCCGGGCGTGCATCAGCAGAAATCTCCCTCCAGCCCTTGCAGGACCTGGCTGGTGCCCAGAGCTGACAGGGGTGTCACAGTGCAAGAGGTCAGGGACACTCACAGCGCTTGGAGCCCTGCAGGTCCCCGGATGCGCTTAGGGGTGATGGCCCACAGGCCCCGGGGATGGGCTTGTGCGGGTGGAAGTGAGCAGGCGCAGCAGACGGCCCCAGAGAGCCCGGGCCCTGGGTGAGCTGTGCCTGCAGGGCGAGCGATGCTGCAAGCCCGTGCCCTGTCCTGTGTTCCCGCGGGGCCGGTTGAAGGGTGTGCAGGGACGGGCACCCCCTGCCCAGGGCTGGTCAGCTCTCGTGAGCGTGCGTGGGCTGAGCTCTGCTCCCCGGCTGCATGAGGGCCCAGTCTGCTGCCCCGAGCACTCGCTATGGTGCCGGGTGGCGAGACACGTGCTGAAGCGGGGTGCAGAGGTCCCCCGCTCCCACTGCAGCCACCCCAGGCTGCCACATCCTTGCGGTCCCTGCAAGTGCCCGGGGCTCTGCCCCGCGGAGGAGAGCAGCTCCTCTCGGGATCTCGCTGGGCCCCACGTGGCCGTGGCTGGGGGACACAGGCGCAGCCCTTGTCCTGGCATCTGTGCCCTGGTCGCCATGCCTCGAGGGTCTTTCCCTGCAATCTCTACCCGCCGTTGGTGGCAGGGGCTGTACGTAGGCAGGCTCCTGTCCCGTTCCCTCCGCACGTGCTCGGCACCCCGAGCCCTGGCAGGGAAAGCCCTCTCTTTCCTCAGGAACTTCTCCGTGCTTTGCCCCAGGCCAGAGAACCGGCCTCCCTGCCTGCCCTCTGAGCCGGCCTTCCTTGCGGAGGGCCGAGCGCGGGCGGCAGGGACGGTCTAGCAAGCAGGGTGCGCGTCCCCCTGCCCGCGCTGGCTCCCAGCCCAGCCCCTTCCCTCCGGCCACTGGTACATACAGCCGTGTCTGGTGCCGCCCAGCTCAGCAGCTCCCTGGGACAGGTCCCAGGGCATCGGGGCACCAGGTGGGGGGGTCGCTCCCTTGCCACCGCCAGCACCTGCCACGGTGGAGGGAAGGCGCGGGCAGGGGGTCGGTGCCTCGCGGCTGCGCTCTGCCCAGGCAGACCCGGGAGGTGATTTCCTTGCCCTTGTTCCTCTTTTTCAAGGTCTTTCTAGGACCTGGAAATAAATGATTTCCTTGTCACCTGGACTGAGTCTTACCTACTTATTGGATGGGGTCCCTTGTGCTGTGTTGTTAACACGCTTTAATTAGACGGCAGCTCCTGGGCGGGGGGGCGCAACCCCGGCTGGCACTTGGCCCTGCCATGCACGGCCCGGCTTGCACCGGGGCAGGGCTGCCGCAGAGCTGCATCGCAACAAGGCGCTGACGACGACGCGTGCCCGCTGCTCCGGGCCCCGGGCAGGAGGAAGCCGCCGTGCGCCTGGAGGGAGGTGCGGGGCCAAGCGCCCTGCGCCGTGCAAGCCACTTGGGGCACGGGCCTGGTCCTCGCAGGAGCCGCGGGGCAGGGGAGGCGGGAGGAGGCTGCTGCCTTTCACAACACGCCGCCAGCCTGTCCTCGAGGCAGACGACCTGCGCTCTGGCTGTTGCGGGGTCAGGGCACCCCTGGACGCCTGCCCCGCGCTGCGCACGCAGGCGGGAGGCAGCGGTGGGGGAAGGGGACGTTGCTACCTGGAGTTCGTTGTGCACCTGCCAAAAAGGAGGCTTGTGCTTTGCGGGTGGGGAGCTGGGCCTTGCGCCGTGAGAGGTGCCCCCACGCGTGGTGCTGCCTCCCGTCCCGCAGCTGCCAGGGGAGCGCGCGGCGCTGCAGGCCCTGCGGGAGCAGCTCGCCGGGCCCTGCGTGGGGGCACTGTTGGGAGCGTTGAAGCACAGGGAGCCCCGTCTTCCCTGCCCCTCGCCGGGGCTCGGTGTCCCGCGGCCCCCTCACGTGTTGCTGGCTTGGGCTGCACGTTCAGGCCCCAGAGGTCGAGGGATCCCCCAGGCACGGACAGGCCCAACAGGGGAGTCTGCGCAGGGCCCAGCCCGTGACCTTGCCCGTCTCCTTTCCTGCATGCAAGGCCGGACCCACGCCAGCTGCGGAGGCATTTGTTTCAAGGGAGGCGGTGTCTGTGCCTCTCCTGCCTGCAGCTGGGGCCACCTCCTGCGCTGCATTTGCTGTGCCCAGGGGTCGGGCTGGTGCCCAGTGCTGCCTTCATCATAATTCAGCTGCCGCAGGGCTTGGAGGCTGCTGCTGACAACCCTTCCCCCCTTGCACCATCATCGTCCTCATCTGCGTGCTCCAGGCCCCGCGAGCCTGTGGAGCGGGCACCTTGAATGCATGGTGGTTGGTAGGGCTTTGGCACGTGGTACTTTAGGTGCAGCATGTGGCTGTACCTGTTTGTTCGCACGGTGGCTCCTTCCCATCGCCCCTTCCCAGCTCCCGTGCCAGTGGCTCTGGGTGCCGCAGGTCAGTGCCGTTGGGCTTTAGCCTCTCCAAGGAGATGTGCCGCTGCAGAGATCGGTCGTGGGCTGCTGCAGCACTCCTCAGCCATGCAACGGGCTCTGTGCTGGTAATGCACAACTCCCATGTCTCTACCATGCGTGAGTCGCGCCAGCCTGTCCTCCGCACCGTGGGATGCAGGAGCGCGGAGGCGGCTGGCAGGCGCGCGGCGTTCTCTCCTGGGGTCCAAAGAGCAGTTGCGGGCGCTGCAGCAGCTCTCGTAAAGGCCTGACGCAGCACATACAGCTGGGTGCACAGAGCAGGAGGGGAGCGCACTAAATTCTGCGGTGGCAGCTATGTAGGTCAGCAGATCGTGTGGGCAGAAACTAAATCTGCCCATGAAGTGATGGATGCTCAAACACGACCGGGAGCAAGGCTCCTGTTGGGCTGGCTGCAGCGGAGCATGTCAGGATGCCTCCAGCCAAAGGCAGAGCTGGAAGGAGGCGCAGGCGCCAGTCAGCGAGATGGCACCGAGGAAGGGGTGGGTGCTTGGGGCGCTGGGCAGAGGGGGGCCTGCATTTTGTCCTCAGGGGTGGGCAGCCCAGCGCTTGCCTCTGGCTCAGCCGTGGAGACGGGCCGAGACCCCGCTCCCAAGGCGCAGCCCTGGTTTGCTCACATGCAGGCGTTCTGTGCACGTGCTGGTGGCTGCACCGCTGCTGTGACTGCATCGGTGCCTGAGGCCCAGTGACAAGCGTGTCGTCTCTGCGCTCGTGGCCCTGCGCTGCGGCGGGCGCCACAGACAGCACCCCTGCGCCCTCCCCTCCCTGCCGCGCTGCAGCAGTCACCTCCAGCGCCTGCAAGTTGCGCCGCGCCGGGTGCCAGCAGGCACGATGTCCGTGCGCCCCCAGAGAGGCATTTGCAGGAGATGGATGCAATGTGCCGAGATCGTTACGGGGAAGTGGAAGGAGAGATGGTGATCGCTACGCGCCCCAGGAGGAACATACGTCTCTGTAACCTGCACACGAGCTGGGCCTGGCAGACGGGGACAAGCCATCTGGTAACGAGCAGCTTGCAAAACCGGCGCCCTTTCCCCTCTGCCCCTGCCGCGGGGGGAGCTGCTGTGTACCGGTGCTGCCTCCTCTGGGCCCTCCAGCCTCGTGGCCTCCCTGGCCCCCTCCAGCTGCCGGACCGCAGCTTCCACGTGGCCGCAGCTCGGCTCTTCTGGCACTGCCTGACCCCGAGCGGCTCCCGCCTGACTCTTGAGAGGATCTGGAAACGTGATGCTGCAAGCGTGCTGGGGAACTTTACTTGTGCATCTCCCTCCAGGCGGGCTGGCTCAGGACTGGCGTGGCTGCCTCTGCCCTCCTCTGTGCCCAGACCACGGCAATCCCTGGCATCCCTCGCTCTTCACCTGCATGGACAGCAACATTTAGACACTGAAGCCACGCGTCTGGACAGGCCCAGGCAGCTGCCACCGCCCCGCGCAGCACCACAGCCAAGCGGCAAAGCCATCAGATCGTCCTGGCCGCTGAGTTTCTGGTGGCGAGGGCAAGCGGGCTGGAAGCAGGATGCTCGTGGCGA